CATTCCCATGTGATCTTTTCATGAATACAGCGGCATCAAAAGTGGGACGGTGCTTCTAACAGGCTGTGGGAAATCTCAGGACTACAACTGCAGGAAGACAAAAGGAAAATAATGATGAAAGTAAAATAAAAAAAAGTGAATGAGGCAGAGAGAGATATCCAAGAAGCAGAGACATGAAAGAGCAGGACGTTGTTTGGGGTGGCAGTTTCACTGACAACAGTCCCCTGGTGTTTCTGTAGCGGCTGGACTGAGTGACAGTCACCAGATGGATTTTGATAAAGCCGCCCTGATTGTCTGAGGCTTCGAACAGCGCTGTAGTGGCTCCTCAACTGTGGGACTGCAGCAGCCCACAGCTGCACACAAACTAGCCAGCAGCACAGGACAGGTGGATATCAGGCAGGGCTTACACTGCAAAAAAAATCCATCTTCACACATCCTTCAGTCCCACCTTCAGTTTTTTTTTAAAAAGTTTTCTTCTACCAAGACACAACTCTTGCTAAGGTCAGTTTAACATGCAGTTCACTTGTTTCAAGAAACTTCTCAAAATAGCTTGATGGCCTCTTGTTTAAAGACTGCGTAGTACAGTGGTCTATGGCATAGTAAGAGCAGCATGGGCAAATTCTGCTCCTGATATCATAACTTTATTTGTAACATTTCCCTTTACTCCTCAGATCCATTAGCCTGGACACGTATTTCACTTGAAACTCCTCTGTGTGCCAATCCTGACTCTTTGTTATTTTGATTTGAATGTTTAGTTCTTCACCTATTTTTATCCTCTTATCTCTGAGTTGATCACCCTGCCTTTGCTCATCTCATGATGATCAGCTGACCCTCTGCTGGAATTTCTGCTAGCTGGGTTGTATAACATGCCACTTTAGATCTTATTCTCATTTAGTTAAACTTTGTAACTATGTTTAACAGATCCTATTTATACATACGTAGATTCTTGAAAGTAGTTTTATGGCAAAACACAAAGGATATCTCACCCGTGCCTTCAAATTCATATTTTGTAGCTTATTTAACCAATGCACCAATTAGCCACAATGTGAAATGTGTATTAAGTACGCCTATCAATTTCTTTGTCATGAAAGCAACAGGACATGTGCTTTATTATTCAGCAGGGCTGCATGAAAAATAAAGGAAGTGTGGTAGTGAGAACAACAAAAGCTAAATGATTAAGCCATTAAAGTGATTAAAGTTCACATCTAATGCAGCAGCATGGACCAGCACAAGAAGATGATGCCACTAATACCAACAGTTTACCACCTAGAAGCTTATGCCAATGTGTTAAAAGAAGGCAAATCACACTTTTATTTCCTTCAGAAATAACTATTTCTTTGGGTTTGTATGTAAGATATTGCACTTACATTTACAACTTTCACACACTTAATGCTACATTTATTTCTTGGCATTTTACATTAATAGTGTATTATTTTCATTACTGCTGCCTATCCTGTTACTATTACTTTGACTCAACTCTACTTGATATGTTCTTGGCACAAATTTAAATAATCATATTATTATTGTTATTTCTTGGTGTAGGATTATTTTTAACTGTCTTATCTGTCCTCTAACTGCTGTGCTGTATAGTGTTGCTGCAACATCCTGAGACTCATTTCAGTTTAATCTAAACCGAGCAGCAAGAAAATGATGACACAGGATATTAAAACAAGTTGATCTGCATTGGAAAAAAATGAATTGCATAATGTAACATTTGCCAAAAGTAAGATTTTTAAGACTCAGTAACAGACTGACGTATCAAGAAAGGTAATTTTTTGCAGTGTAATGCAGCAAGTCTGTCTCTCTGCTCTTCCCTTTTCCTCTTTCCTCTCATCTCAGTCCCTCTTTCTCCATGTTCCTTCATCATCATATCCTCTCAGAGGCAGCTAGAGAGAGACTGACTCATACCCATGTCCAATTAGCCTAACATGTGACTGGACCCAAAAGCAGGAATCTAGGATTTTCCCTCCTGCTGCGTCACAGATTCACATTCATGTAGATGGCTTAGCCTGAGACGACCCACCAACTTCGTAGGCTGAATCTATAATCTGCCCCCTCTCTCTTTCTCAGACTCTTTTCTCACCTTTCGTTAATGTCTGTCTCTTTGCAACAAGACAGCATCTGCAGCCTGTAAGGCATTTCTAGTCATTTTCTGCAATGAAATGGAAATATATGGAGTTCTCCCTCACCTATCCTGTCGTCTCTGACTTTTGTTTTTTTTGTTTTTCTGCCTCTTCTGCTCTCCCACATTATGTGCAGATGTCTCTCTCACACTCATCTCCATCCTCTCTCTGTGTCTCTCTCTTATTTGGCCAGGTAACAGCATTTAGAGAGCTGAGAACAAACAGAACACCCACACTGCTCACTTACGTCAGTGGAGCAATTTTCTGCCAAAAGACACTTTGACATAAAGCAGCTAACCTCCCAGATCATACACACACATACATAAACAAAACACACACACACACACACACACACACACACACACACACACACACACACACACACACACACAATCTACACTGTATATTGACAGGTCAGCTCTCCACTAGCCTGCAGCCAATCACAGACGAGATGTAACAGCCAAACGTGGGACGACACACACGTGTGAACACAAAACAAGCTACAGTAGCCTTTCTCCGCTCCTGTCAGAGGGAGGAAGGGTGGGGGGTTTGATTGGGAAGGGAAGGGGGGGGTGTCACTAGCAAGACAGTTCCCATGGCAACATACAGGTGACTCACCAGCCGGTGATGCAGTTGCCGTGACAACCTGCAGTGTGTAGCATCGCTATGGGAGCTGAGTGAAAGGCAAGAGCACATTGTGGGTGTTTGTTGTCGTGGGTGTTGAAGTATAACGCCGCAGACCGAACAACTGATGAGACACAGAAAACAGAATCGACTGAAAGGTCCGAGGCTGGAGGATTAACTCACACTGAATCCTAACAAAACAAAACAAAACAAAACAAAAAACAGGTGAACTGAAGTTACTTCAGCTGTAGACCCTCTTTAATATTTGCCCTGGTTCTCTAACTAAACTCATTGTTCTGAATGCATTTAAGCCATTGTTGAACCACAGAAGGTGCTGTGCATTTAGGGCTGGGTATTGCTCAGAAATATCAACCTTGACTTCCATGCCAGTTTCTGAATGATTCTTTGATACAAATTTTTTATAAAATTCATTTTAACATTATACATTACAGTATAATTACTCACTTCAAAGGAGGAAGCTGTTGAAAGACCTGGGAGCAGCTCGGTGCACTTTACTCAACCTGGATAACTGGACTAAGATAATGAAATAAAACTGAATATCTGTACAGTGTTGGACTATATAAAAAAAGAAATAACTGTCAAAGGAACATTACTAACAAACAGGGTGGCAGCAATATGTCTCACCGTATTGACTTTGTTATCGCCATGTTGCTCTTTCCCCAATGACCAAAAAAGCAATTCATGCTGGTTTAAAGTGTCGCACTGAATCAGCAGTGAATTCTGTTGTACTCATAATGGACCAAAAAAAAAAAAAAAAAAAATCAAAGATTTTGTTTTTTATTCCACACATTTTTCTTTCTTGTCAAATCCTGGTGCCTATATTACCCACAATGCTACTCAACTGCCAACATTTAGGTTGTAGATTCAGGTGAGTTATGCTAGTAGTAGCTAATGTAGCCTCGAGCCACTAGCCTGAATAAGAAATGAGGAGCGGGTTACAGAGATCTGGTAAGTGCACCTCTTTCGAACTCGACACCTCCAGACTTTTTTTCAATTTCAAACATGTAAGCTTCAGACCCAACCAATGCCGACACAAATGACATCGCTTGAGGCAATTACACTGACTTCACACAGGTCCCTCTGGAGCCACAGAAGGCTTCATACAACTGTTTCCACGTACGCAGTTGTACTCCGCAGGACCTGTAAACAGACTTTGAAATGCAAAATCGGTGGAGTTCCCCTTTTAAGAGGATGTTCATGAGGTGATAAAATATGGAGTGACGAACAAGCCCACTGATATTGAAGAACAGGTATTAGAACTGTAATTAATACTAGAGTAGGGAAAGAAAAATCACACATATTGTATGTGATCAGGACGGTACAAACATCGGATCTGTGCATGCAATATTAGAGTCACCCAACCTCGCCTTTACGAAATGAATCCCATCCAAATAGTGCTAGAGGCATAAATTCAACAATGCATATCCCAAACAATGTTGCTCTCACTCTCACCCACATTTTCCACACCTGCTTATTGCTATGAAACTTGTGTTAATGTTGTAGACAATACGCTTGGTGGTTCAAGTCTTCTTCTGAAGTCGTGATCGTCACAACAGCGGGATGTTCATATGGATTCTTGCTTGTGAACACAGTAAACACGGAAGGCACCATATGTTCCACCGTCAATTATTTAGAGCAAACTTCTTAAAAGGACCAAAAACAAAATGTGTACAAAGAGCCACAAGAAATCAATACAGCAATGATCATGACCCCAACACTCACTGATTCGATCCAACGGTGTGTTTACAAAATCATCAAAAACTTATTGTTGGTTGTCAACTTATTGTTGGTTGTCAACTCTTTTTGCAGTTTTGTATGGGCAGCTGATTCATTAGTTCACTTGGCTGAATACAGTTTGATGACTGTACCTTTTCTGGCTGCACCTATCTGTGTGAAAGATTGTTGATAACATTTTCTAGTTTACACGCATCTTGTAAAATGTATTAGCAGAAAGCTGTGGAAGAATACAGCAATAATCTTGCTGAGGGAGGTTTTGGAGGACTAACAGGTAATTTAAAATACTTGTTAATCTAGAAATCTCTGAAACCTGTTTTTTTCTTTGTTGGTTGTTGTCATCTTGTGTAAAAACAATAATTTTACTACAAATGGTCACTCTGTGATTTTAAAATGAATAATTTTTAAACAACGATGAGGGTGGTATCATCTGTTTTGGGAAATAGAGCTGACACATTGATTGCAAAATAAAAAGTGTGGTTTTCTGCTTTGCCCTACCATTGCGTGGACAGGCGTTGAGCCGGTGGTTGATATCGAGTGAGCAAGGTTTGCGTGTGACGGCTGTGGTCACGGACTCGTACGGGTTGTCCTCGTCCTCTGGCAGGAAAACATCCAGAGACGGCGAGGTGACAATCTCTGCTGAATGCTTTGAATTCTGGGAGAAGGACAGAAAGAAAAACAGAGAGAGAGAAATGTAAGGGCTATTTGTTAAACATACCACATTGTCTAACATCAGAGTGTACAATTTCATGGCCAAAGAGGTTCCTGATCACAGAAGTTTCTCCTGGTCCTAAGAACAGTTGGAGGACCCCCCCTTTTTTATTGTGTCAACACTGCAGGAACAAGGTAAGATGTAGTTTTGAGACACTTTTGTAACTGTAGTTTCCCAGAACCTTGAGTACAGTAATAGGTCAAACACACAAGCCGCAATCGCCTTTTTAAAACGTTAGCGTTGTAGCCTTGAAAGATGGAACAAAACACGGACAAATGGGCTGACAGCAAAGTCCAAGGTTCGGACATTGTATGTTGTACAGAAGTGACATTGCTATACCGGCCAGTTTACATCACTTCCGCGTTCCTACGTGTGCTGCGAATGCAAACGATAGAAAACATACACTTGTGACAGTATATAATTCTCGGGGGAGCTCCCCAGTGGGCAGTTCCTCCCAGGGACTCCCCAGAAGTGTTTGGTCCTAAAAACACGCAACTCAGGAACTACCAGCAGTGCTACATTCATTGAGATAAAACACACCACTAATTACATTATTAATTACATACTGCAGCCATACTGGCCTATTATCCCTTCCAAAAGTCCTATAAATTATGTATTAGGTTAATTAATAGTGTTTGGAAAGCAAAGTGAAGAGCTCTTTCCCTGAGTGAGTCAAAGAGAGTCATTTTGATTTTATGAGCTGTATGTGAAAGGCAGAAAGCACAGCAATACAAAACCCAGCCAAAGGAAAGCAGAAAAGAGGTCTTTGATGTCGGCTTTGAAATGTGTGGCAAACGGTGTCTATCCAGGGCCAAAGGTGTCTTTTTGTTCACCTTTGCCTGGGGTGCATGATCAGAAACAAAAAGAAAACAACCAAACACATCACCTCACCTCACAGTAATCTCTCAGTTCAGCTTAAGGCTACCATTCAAGTCCAACCATGTCCACACAGTTGAATTATCATGAAAGATTTAGGCCAATGTTCAAAGCAAACACTAAAAAAAAAAAAAAAAAGTTGAAACCTTTTTTTTTTGTAGTCTCTTAACGGTCCTTTTCAGGACTTATGGGGCTTTGTCCGCTGTGATTACTGCGATCACCAAGGTTTTGCTGGAGCTTTTCTTAGAAGAAAATAGAAAGTCTCAAGTCCTCAACAATTATGTGCTATAAAATTGTTGAGACTGGCCAAGATTAAAGATGAGTCATGGGCAATGATGAATGATGAATTATGATTGCTGTCAAATGTCCAAGTGTCTTTAATGAACAGTAGATTTGTGTGATTTATGTGAAATGTGCTGGAAAATGTCTATACTGCAAAATCCTGTAATATCTTACTGATATGTTTTATAATCCATATCCGTAAAATGTGAGATACAATGACTTTATTTCAATTTACTAACTTCCTAACTGATGAAAGAGGTGGCTGTCTATGGTGGTACAATAGCTTCAGGGTCCCATCACATGGTGTGAATACATTTTAAAAAGAGCCAAACAACAGGGCACCAAATTCCCTCAAACACAACAGCAACAGAATTAAAAATCAAAACAACATTTTTTGTCTCACCTGTTGGCTGAGCAATTCCAGCTGGAATCTTTTTACAATGACGCACTTTTGTTTGAAATATATCTTAAGAGTTTCATTTCAAACATGTCCACAACTGAGTTAAAAATAACTAAACTAAATTCTACTTTTTCTTTTTGACTTACGGAAACCAGACAGAAAAACAGATATACCGGTTCTGAGCACCTGACAAATCTCAGAAACCAGAGGGGTACAAAATCAAGGCAACCAGGCGCATGAGACAATCTCTGGTGGTTTAATATGGGTTCATTTGTATGCTTGGGCAGCCTGGACAATTCACCTTTTCATAATTGTAAATTGTCGCCTAGAATCAGTATGATTCTCTGCCCAACAAGCCTCCATTATCTCTCCCTGCACCACCTTTTGAGCGAATACCCTCCAGTTGACTGACAACTGTAAGTAAAGTTCTCCTACGCGAGTTACTTAAAAATGGTTTGATGTCTGACCTTTTCAAGTTGCAGTGATATCGTCACATTCTGACATATTATTTTTCTTTTATATTAAGAGTTCAAGCCAAATGTCAACTTTTAAACTACATCTTTATTATGTATCTAAGCTGAGATGATGAACTCCTCATTGGCTCAGAAGGGAAAACATGTGATACTCCAGCACTGAATTTAATTTGAGTTTGTATTTATTTGTCTTGAAATCTGCACCATCCACCAACAACCTCACTGTGATCCTCAACAAACAACCGTCTTAAGCACTCCACACAGCTGCCGCCACTTGATCCTGCAGATTTGATCTCTACAACCTCTGTGTGATCAGACACAGCACCAGTACATCCATAAAGCCGCAGTTCCTCCTACAGGGCTGACTGCGGCAACAATTCTGTCTTTGTTGTCCACCCTGCATCCTTCACTCACGTAACCTCAGAATTTCTCCCGTCTCTCTCTTAACTGTCTTGGAAAGGTAAAATGTGAATGTCTCACCTCACTACTCCTCCGTCAAGCTCCAGCTCTCACCAAGTAAAGGTTATAAATCCCAACACACACAACAGAAAAAAAACACTTGTCATTATTCTTGATAGTATGCTATAAGACTGTTAATAGGAACTAGGTTCTTGCTTTACTTTTCTTAATTAATGCTAATGCACTTTTTGTTTGTGAAGCTTATTATAAGTCTTTCCAAACAGTGTGTCTGCCAAGTGTCTAAATGGTAATTTGCATACTAAATGAAATACATCAATGATTTTTACCAACAGGGACTTGCAGCATTTTGAAAGAAACATTTCATTTGGAGGGGATTAATTCAGAGTAACATGTAAGGAAATGTTTCTTGGGGACCTTTATATAACTGTGTTCACTGTGGGTATTTGAGGAGAATTTCAGATTGCACTTTGTTGCAGCATTGGTGAAAAGGTTGAGCCCCACAGGGCTTCGAGAGAGAGCTGAGGACCAAAAGGTCCCTTATCTCTGAGGCTGATGTGTTCCCAGAAAGAATGAAAAACAACACTGACTGATGTGAAGCAGGGGAAAAGGTTACAGGGCCGAGCGTCATTTCATCCAAAGAGACAAAACATTTCTCTCCAGCAACGTAGCCTCTGAATGTCTGCCTTTTTCCCATAACGCAACACTCTATCATCATTTCTGGAGTGTCACTTGGCAACCTGCCCCTGGTTGTACCCTTCCTAATGGGATCAGTGGGAAACTTGTCACCATGCCGATAAGTTGTGGGTGTGGCTACGCCTGTTCTCAGCCTCGCATATATTTCTCACCCATCTATCTGTTACCTCTTCGCCCTCTCCCAACCTACTCTCCTCATTCAAAAGCCATTACTCTTTCTGTCATCATCTGCTACTACATTACCCAGACTGCACCAGGCCATCAATCACACACTGAGCACACTCAAAATGGATTAATCATTCTGGCTGACAGAGCAATCAGTCCCTTGATGATTTCTCTCACTTACACCCTCTGCACTCAATCTGAGACTTATTTTATACTGCACTGTATTAAAAGGCCTACAAACTAACCCCCCCCCTTCTTCTATCTCCATCAGCACTCAATTAGACTGCCATTACCAACTAATGGAGATCCAGTCGGTCTTTTACGCCTTCACTCTGCAGGTGGCCCTGCCTCAGCTGATGCTGATTTGATGTGACAACCTGGTTAGCTGCAGATTTCGCTCACAGTGTTGACGGAGAGGCTGAGAGCACTTTGATGGAGCCATAAAGACCTGATGGTAGTTCACTGCTCCTTTCAGGACATAAAAACTCTACTTCAAATTATAAACTCTTCTGACAGCTCAGATTTAAGGTGCAATTAATCATCTTCACATTCATTTTGAGGCTTTAGCCTAATTGTGATTTCAGAACATTAGGACTGGTAGCCTCATCAAGCCACTTAACTGCATCTCAGACAGTGTGTTTACATGCACTCAGTTAGCCTGGTTACGGTTGGCTTTCTGCCTGATTTATCATGCCTTGTAAACCAGAAACCAGGTTTCCATAAATGGAGTTGGGGATTAGAGAAACCTGATTACCCCAGCTATATTTCTCCTGGAGAAAGCCATGTATACTACACCTAACTGGGTTTCTAATCAGCTGTATACATGGATGCATGTGCATGACACAAGATGTCAAAACAGGGATGTATCACTGTGACCAATCCTGTCTCCTAAAAACTCCATTTATATACTTCTAAATTTGTTTTTCCAGTTACATTTTGAATGGAAGAATACTTGCTGACAGGATTATGTTCCCCAGCAACATTTTTCATGTGGTTACAAGTGCTTCATTTAAGGTTAGGAAAATGGTTGGGGTTAAATGTTAATGAAGAAAATGTTTTTATTTTTTTAATGTTTATTTTTTTAAGACCTAAAAGTTTGCAAACATGTTGTGAACATAGAATATAGTCTGTGGGGCACTGCAGCTCTTATAAGACATTTACTGATACAAATTAGTTATATATAAACATAATTTCTAGGAGACAGGTCTGCTATGACAGCTAAATCACTATTACAGTTAAGAGTAAGAAAATAAGGGTAAGATAGGGGAGAAACCTGATTACTGACTGCTGCATGTAAACACAGACGTGTAGTAAATGTGTTGTCCGATTTCCTTCACAAACAGATTTCTCTGAGTAACCTGGTTCCTTGTACGGATGCAAGTATGACCGTGTGTGACACTGGCAGGAAATGCAACAAATTGTTTCATGGCCCTTAGCTGGAAGAGGGTGCAGTTATTCAGAAAAAAAAGCGAGATAAAGTTTGGAGTAAATGGAAGTGAAAGTAGATTTAAATGGAAACAGAAACAAGTGAAACAATTGTCTCTGTAACAGGAAATAACAGGTTTAATGGCAAATGCAGTCCTGATTTAAAAATAAAACATCCGTTCTAATATTTATGATGAAACACAGCTGTG